AGCAAATTCCGATAATTCGTTTAAAAGTTTATCTTTCACATATATCTTAAACCACTCGTCTATTTGAGTTGATGTATCAATAATATGATTTTTAGTATTAATATATTTAATTCCCAAAATTTCATTATCCCCCGATTTCCTAATAAACTCCCCGCAAAATGTTGTATTTACTTTGAGCGCACAATGGGTGTTCAAAATATTCCTAATTTTCCTTTTAAAAACAACTACACAATCTGCTAAAAATTGATTCAAGTCCTTATGACGCAAATTAGCTATGGAACCGGTTTTTATTCTACTTTGAAAGCTCGATTCTACATTTTCCCATCTAACCCTCTGACCCAATGTTAAGTGAAGTCCTGCCCCAATATGTCTAGTTAAAATCAACTTTCTAAAATGTTTAAAATGCCCCAAATTTGTTTCTACTTTTCTACAGGTCCCTACAGATAATTTATTTTGCCTTCTACTACGAATTACCCGTTTACATAATCTAATTTGTTTTTCTATTCGTTTCAGCCACACTTCCGCGTCTCTGATTGTAAAATTATCAAATAAAATTTTCCGTAGACTAACAATTGATAGTAGAACACCGTCTGTTTGTTTGATGATCTTTTTAACCTTATTTGAAGACATTTGAAAAGACGACATTTTTTTTTTCAAGCAAACACATTACTCAAAAATATATAAAAATGCTCACCCTGTCCTCCTCCTCCTGTTCTCTGCTTTGTTAATTTTCCACTATTTTGAATGATGCTAGCGGTCGGCTTTTCCCTACGTCCACTTCCCCTTGGAAGATGATCGAGTATTTTCCGTGAAAAAGTTCGTCGATGACCGGCTGGTACGTTTCCGTCACCCGCTGTGGTAGAAATAGCACTTCCGGTCCTAAATCTAGTAGCACGGCTTCCCCAAATTTCGACTTGACCACTTTAGCTGCTTGGATTGCAAATGGTGTCCCGACTGGTAGGTCCTTTAATTTTCTGATAGGTTTGCGGTCTACAATCGAAGACGCAGCATTAATTTTTGATAAATCCATCTATAAAAAAAATTGAGTCGTCTAACTATTTTGAAGCATAACACGAAAAAACAGTTGCACTTAGAGACATAAAAAAGAAAAATATTAAATAAAATAGCACTTACTTTTTTTAAAATTTTCGCTATCTCGTCTCTCTCGAAGCACTATTGTACTGCGGCCGTTGTTCCAGCTTGCAGCGTTGTGCGTTAAGTGTGAAACAATGATGACTATTGCATGCGCTCGCTAAATATAAATACGTGGTTGAGATAACACACGCGTGCATGAGATAATTGTATCGTAAATATGCATATTATATGCATCATATTCTCAGTACCATTTTTATCGAGAAAACAACATTCATTGCGGTTGCAGTATTTTTTATATAATTTCTTAGTAATACATGAATGTATCGTTTGTCCGGCGGAAATTCCAATTACAAGTTGCACATGAGAGTAGAAATTTAGAAATATAGTAAATTCGTGTATGATTATTGTATATTTGCTGCCTAATTTTTTTTCAGTCAAGATTTTGATTGGGGGGTAAACGAATTTATATTTGCTATCTGAGATTTTTGACATCATTCTCTATCAGGTGTTGGTTCATGAAATTGGACATGCTCTCGGCATAGCACATAGTGCTTCTCCGAATGCTATTATGTTTGCCTTCTATCAGCATGAGATTCGTGGTCTAGATGTTGATGATATAAATGCAGTACAATATCTATATGGAAGAAAAAACAAATATGATTCACTCCCAACGTCTACCACCGCATCAGCAATACCAAAAACAACAACAACTATAAGATCTACAACTCGTAAGCAGCCGATCCTCAAAAATTTGTGTGATATTATTCCAGATTTTATGTTTTTAGCTATTGCTCCAGAGTTTTCAAATTACCGATTATATATTGCACATGATATGTTTATATGGAAACTAGACTTAAACGAAATGATTATCCCATCTCAGCCTGAACTTCTTGTCGATTATGTTCCTACAGAATTACGTCAATACACTTTACAACATATTTTCCAATCAACAAACGGTGACTTGATTACCATTGTGTCTCCAAACAACTATTTCTCAGCATCATTCCCTACCATTAAATTTCTTGATAATTTTTCAATTGATATACCCGATAGGGCTCGAATCAATGCTATTTTTCAATCAAACGCAGGACGGTCCTATACCTTTTATAATAATATGTCATATATAGAATTTTCTAACGATTTTACTGATGTGTTGAACAGAGGACGGATAAGAGACATATTTCCTGGGTTACCTGAAGTTTAGGGAAAAAATTAAAAAACAACCAGAACTGAACCGTGAAATACATAATTTGATTCTTGTCTGTCATGAACCAAATCAGTTGTCGAACAATGATTTGAGTCGATTAGTATCAACATCTAAAGTACTCCCTGATATGTAGTTTTATTGAAAATACCTCTGGTTTGCGAAATAATATTGTCGGAATTTCTTGTTGCAAGTTGTTCAAGCGCGGGTATTCAAAACATGGCACACACACACACACCAATCAACCTTATTGTTATATATACTATATGTTTCAATAAAATATCCATTATACTATTTTCATTTTGAACGGTATCATCCTGTATAATAATAACAGTACATCGTATACAGGTTATGAGACATTCTGACCGACCGACCGACCGACCAGAGGAGCCCACCACGCTATTTAGGTCACGCCTTGCTATATACGATTTAACGATATACCGTCGGTCCATCGATCCGCTATTTTTCGATGCACCCCTGTATACACGTTGCCCCCCGTAATCCACGCCAACACCAGACAGGTGCGACATCGGCGCCATCTATGCGCGAGATGCCCAACCCATCAATGGCAGCTGTCCAATGACGCATAGATTCCGTTAGGTTTGTACAGCGCCAAACAAATCGGCGCCATCTATGCGCGAGATGCCCAACCCATCAATGACAGGTGTCCAATGACGTATGACAGATGACGTTTTAACGCCATCTATGCGTGAGATGCCCAATGACGCATGACAGGTGTCCAATGACACACAGATTCCGTTTGGTTTGACAGCGCCATCTAGCGGCGGAATCCCCAACTCATGAATTTCGATTACAGATTCCGTCCAACAACCTGTCAATGGCGCGCGACGCCAGCGCCTCTGGTGGCGGATTTTGGAAGTTTTGAGACCGAATCCCCATAAGACATCTACTTTGCTCATGTACAGCCCATCCCAAAAAAAGGATCTAAAACCGACCCTTACAACTACAGGCCTATAGCTCTGCTTTCTGTTATAAGTAAAGTGATGGAGAGGTGCATAAATCGCGAGCTTCTAGACTACCTCGAACGTCACAGCTTGATTAGCGACAGGCAGTACGGTTTCCGGCACCAACGATCCACAGGGGACCTCCTAGCTTACGTCACGCAACTGTGGAGTAAACTCATCCAGTCTCATGGTGAGGCTCATGTCGTTGCTCTTGACATCACGAAAGCGTTCGATCAGCTGTGGCACGCTGCCCTCTTAAGCAAACTTCCATCCTACGGCCTCCCAGAAAAGCTTTGCAGATGGGTGGCTGACTTTATTTCTGGCCGCAAGATATCCGTCGTAATTGACGGATTCTCCTCTTCATCCCACAACGTCAAGGCGGGTGTTCCCCAGGGATCGGTCTTGGCTCCAACACTGTTTCTCTTACATATCAACGACCTCCTTTCCTGCACGATCAACCCAATCCACAGCTTCGCTGATGACAGCACTCTACATGCAGGAATTCAGAGTGACAAGCCGATATCTGCCGCTGAGCTGGAAAAAAGAGGACTAGCGACGACTTCTTCTCTGACAAGAGACCTGGAGGCTATCACTGCTTGGGGACGCAACAATCTTGTACAGTTCAATGCTTCCAAAACACAGTACTGTACTTTGACGAACAAAAAGCGTCCTAGCGCTCATACAGTTTCGATGGACGGTCGAGTTCTACCAAAGAGCCATTCATTTCGGCTGGTCGGAGTCCAGATCACCGAGGACCTGATCTGGCACGAACACATCTCTTCAATAGCTGCAGCTGCTGGGAAAAAGCTAGGCTATTTGTTTATGGCTAAGAAGTACTTTTCTCCGCATGACCTTCTCATTCTATACAAGGCCCAGATAGAGCCTAGCCTCGAGTATTGCTCACACATTTGGGGTGCTGCCGCCCCGACTACATTGTCCATGCTCGATGCTGTCCAGAGGAGGGCGGTCCGACTGATCGATGACTCTTCTCTAACAGACAGTCTCGGGACTCTTTCGCACCGGCGGGTCGTCGGCGATCTAGCTCTTTTCTATCGCTACACCAACGGGCTTTGCTCCTCAGAGCTCTCTTCCATGATGCCGCCGCGCGATGTGCCTGCCAGACAGACCCGCCTGACTTCGGCGTCCCATCCTAACCGTGTCAAACTTCGTACATCCAGAACTGGCCGATACGACCGCTCCTTTGTCCCGAGGGTGTCTAGATTGTGGAACAATCTACGGGAGGAAGCTTTTCCCAGTTCTACTAACCTTTGGGATCATCATAGCAGCCGCGGTGTTCCGGCATTTAGGCTTCTGCCTGCGCGGCTGTTTCGATATAAAAAAAAAAACTACTTAAAGCGCTGTTTATTAAAAATATTATCTACCGTATCTGCCTGTTCCTATACAAGCAAAACCAAATTTGTCTGGAGGCTTGAGTTCAATGAGTAGAAAGAGATAGAAGCTAGCTGATGAGCGAAGGTCATCACCATATTACCTAGCGACGGTGACGCAGAAGGTCTGTGCATCTGCCGGGTCCCCAATACATTACACCAGAAAATGTTCGTACATGCTTCAGCAATTGGATAGGTTACTGGTTTAATTTAATATTTTATTTTCATTCTGATTAGAATTGTTTATTTCCATTTTAATGCGACCTAGTGTTTTAATTTATTTTAGAATTATCTTTGACTTCCACCGATGGTGATAAAATCGACCCATCCTGAGTCGTCGCAAAATGTAACAAATACCATTAAGCAATACAAATTATCACTGCCTGCGTGTACGAAATCGATCCGAGACAGATTCGACACAATTCAAAAATGGGTACGCTTAAAGTAAAACCATTATTTGGGCATAGAGAATAAACTAACGCATATTTTCAACATGCATTAATTCAGCTTGCTATTTGGTTCTTGTGTATAAAAAGAGTAGACAAATGTTGATTATTATTGCTTATGGAGTATTTAGAGACAATGTTACGAATCTAATGGAAGTTCTTATTATGATTATTTCAGGAATTTGCTCTTTCGACGGCTTAATCTACGTATGTGGTGGATATGACGGTGCTTCTTGTTTAAGCTCGATGGAAAGGTTCGATCCATTAACTGGAATTTGGTGCAGTTGTCCAGCGATGAACACAAGAAGGAGATACTGTAGAAATGCTGTTGTAGGCACGTTTGTTATACTATGTCTATTTTCGTTTAGTGTTTGATTCTATAAGTCTTATTACCCGTTGAATTTTCACGTAAATAGAACTTTGCTCATCTCGTGGCATTTCGTAATATAAGCTTAAAAATAGCTTTGAATATTTCGTTGTAGTTTGAAATGGATAACATTTGTATTCCTTTCAGATAGCAGCATATACGCTATTGGGGGATTTGATTCCACGAACTATCAAGCTTCAGTCGAAAGGTGAGGTATTTTCTGATGAACGAGGATTGTGGCTGTTCTTCGGAATCAAGTAGATCCGATTTCTTTTCATATTCTTCTAAAACCCAGTGTACTACAAGGGTACTGCGTTTCCGAGCATGCAAAGAATACATGTTTTTAGAATTTGACGGTAAACAAACGTCATTTAAGTCCTTATGCCTTTTTTATGTAGGTTTGACCCAAGAGAGGGAACTTGGAACCCAGTACCTTCCATGTCGTCCCGAAGAAGTAGTTGTGGAGTAGCAGCATTGAATGGGCACTTGTATTGCATAGGCGGTAAGTAAGGGCCGCTGGCATGACACCAAATTCCGCATGAAATGATTCTACTTCAGCTGGTAACCTCGTGTGACGAGAATAAATAGTACTATTGGCGCGATCTGTTGGGAGACTCGCCTACTTGCTAGAGCTTCATATCCGATCTCCGCTTTTACGCGGACCACGACCGCACAAGCCGCTTGGCGACGTCTGTGAGGACCGTGCCAGTGACTCGCCCTCTAGATCGTCGCTAAGTGACCTCGAAGAGTCTAGACTTCCGCTTTGTGGCCAGCCAGCCTCTTCTCGATCCACGATGCGGACTATATAACTCGACGGCCGTGAGAGGGAAGCAGAGTACGGTAGAGTCGCAGAGCAGAGCGGAGTATAGACCAGTCAGTGGCGCGACATAAGAATTAGTCAGACATAAATAGTGGTAAACATAAATGTTCTATCTAGTCAAGATAAATAAATTAGTGTTGTTATTAGTTGGATTATTGGACATTTACTGAAAATAAATCAGACGATCAGTGAAGGAAGAATGGCGCGATTGGTTGATTTGGAAATTTGCCGACTTAAAGAGAGAGCATGAGGAAAAGAGTGCGACACGGCTGGAAAGAAGGAAGAATTGCAGGAGCGGCTTCGTCAAGCACTGATTGAAGAAGACGAGGACCTGGATATTTTCATTTTTACCGGTGCAGGTGATATTGGTTTAGTGCTGCAAAGACCTTTCGACCTAGACTACCGATCTTTTAGAAAACTCAGTCAAGTTAAAAAAAGGCTAGTGAAAAATTGTGCCAACCTGGAAGGAAAACACTTGGAAAGTACAGCCAAATAAGAAGAGAAGTTTTTGGAAAATATTGCCAATTTAAAAAAAGAATTGGAAGATAAAATTATGGAATAATCTTGCGAGTTTAAAAAAACGCATTCTAGAAACTTTGGAGGACAGAACTCAAGAGGTGCAAGGCAAGTTTGCCGTTTTAGACTTCAAGACATCAACGAACGACAGCGTGGACTTCCGTTGGAAAAATCAAGTGAGGTTGGAGCTTCTGTTGGGTCGGCTGGTCATCTGAGAATAAAACCGCCGCAATTTGATGGTACAACGCCTTGGAATGTCTACCGGCGTCAGTTTGAGGCAGCCGCGAATGCAAATGGTTGGTGATCGTCCGAAAAGGCAACTGCATTCACTTTGACCCTGCGAGGAGATGCTGCAGCTATTCTTCAAAGAATATCACCCGAAGAGCAAGAGATCTACGAACAGCTAGTAGGACATTAGGAGACGCGATATGGCCAGTCACATTTAAAATATGTCTACCATACTCAATTAAAGAATCGGTTCCAGAAGTCAGGCGAGTCCTTGCAGGAGTTTGAAGCGGATATTGCGCGGTTGCTCCGATTAGCATATCCCGATGTTCAGGAAAGGATAATGGAGCGATTGGCAGGTCAAGCATTCCTGGATAAACTTCGTGATGGTGAAATGAGGCAACCCTTACTACTAGCACATCCACCTAAGCTAGCAGATGCGCTAACTTGGGCCTTAGAATTCGAAGCCGCTAAAAACACAAATAAAAGTCGGGTCCGAGTCAGCCAGATGGTAACAGGAGAAAACGAGTTCGAAGAGTTCGTCAAGCGCATTGTTAAGGAACTTGATGGTGAACGTTGCCGCCAGAACAGCAAGTTGGAATGTTGGAAATGTGGAAAAAGAGAGCACGCTAGGAAATGCTGTTTAGAGGATGGTAAGCGTTGCGCGCGGGCAGAGCAGAAAAACGCCCAAGTATTAAGAACTACTGTCGTTAGTGATATTTGGCAAAATGAAGACCCCATTAAAGACCAAGAGGGCGACCCTGATCTCCAAATAATTCTGAACTGAACGAAAGAATAACGGAAACCGGCCTGGGAAGAAGTTGCCAAGTATTGCCCTACCATAAAATCATATTGGGCACAATGGAATTCTCTCGTTATGGACGACAGACTCTTACTGCGTAAAATGGTGGACCACGACGGCAAAGAGGAAATAAGACAAATGGTTAACCCCAGATGTCGGATCCCGGAGCTGCTAGAAGAAATCCATTCCGTTGTATCAGGAGGTCATCTCGGAGTTACAAATACTCTGGCAAAAGTGAGGGAAAGGGCAAGGAGGACATAAAAGACTTATGCAGAAAACGCGTTGCGTGTTCGGTAAGTAATTGACCGCAAAGGAAACCAAAAGCTTCGATGCGCCAATACAACGTGGGAGCCCCTTTGAAAGGATTGCTATTGATGTGGTGGAACCCTTTAAAGAAGGTAAAGCAGGGAATAAGTACCTCATTGTGGTAATGAGTTACTTCAACAAGTGTGTTGAGGCATACGCTCTGCCAAATCAGGAAGCCTCTACGGTAGCCGATGCTTTAGTAAAGGAATTGATCTGTCGATTTGGTGTACCTTTAGAGTTGCATTCGGACCATGGGTGCAATTTCGAGTCAAATCTGTTCCAAAGTATCTGTCAAACTCTTATGGGACTGGGATAGTCTTCTTCACCTCTTCTTTTTGGCTTACCGATCTTCGATTCATGAACGTACAGGAGAGACGCCGGCTGTAATAGTTATGGGAAGAGAACTTCGTCTCCCATGCGATCTAAATTTTGGCTATACACCAGGAACTGATATTGCCGGAGAAGACTACGTAAGTGAGCTGCGTAGAAGAACGGACGCCATTCATACCAGGTTCGTGTTTCAATTCAAGGTGCCAGCGATCGGATGAAGGCAGCTTATGACGTTAATGACAAAGACCAGAGGTATGACAGTGGTGATACGGTTTGGCTTTACGGCCCAAAGAGGCGAAAAGAGCTGTAGCCTTAACTTCAATCATCATGGGACGGGCCTGATACAGTTCTGGAGGCCATCAACGATGTTCTCTACAGAATTCAGAAGGTACCACGTGGTAAAGCCTTAATTGTACATTTTAACCGCCTTGCACCTTATCATTGAAACAACGAAGATGCGGCGGTGTGGCAAATCCAACCAGAACCAGACATGACATTTGACCAATTTATGGATCACCATAGTAATGGCCATAAGAGTCGATATGGCGTGGCATGTGAAGTACAGCAAGATCTGTTTAGCACTTGACCAGAGTATGCCCTGGCACACTGTGTGGCTCAAGACTTGCGAATGTCGAGAGGTATAGTAAAGGTCTTTCTCAGGAACTTTGGAAGAGTGCACGAGCGGCGACAATCTAAACCGGAAGTCGGAGTAGTACTCCAGATAACTGAAGAGGGTACCGACCGAAAGATCTTCTAACTGGTTTCCAAGAAAGCTTCGTATCAAGAACCGAATTACGAGGATGTCTGGAACGCTTTGTGTTCTCTTAGAGAAGTGTTTCTTGCCGAGGACCTGCGAAAATTGGCAATACCTAAGTTGCCATGTGAACTGGACAACCTGTACTGGAGAATCATCCGAAGCATGCTTGAGGTAGTCTTCCGGTATACAGGCATTCGATTTCTGGTATGTTCTCACAGTCCTAGACGGCTGGAAAGAAAGTGGATTGTTATTTCTTCAAGAACTCCTACTGCAAGAGAGGGCCGTTGTGCCGATATCGACATCCGCCACCAGTAAGACCATTCCGGGATGGAATGACTTTAGGGAGGGGGCAGTGTGACGAGATTAAATAGTACTGTTGGCGCCATCTGTAGGGAGACTCTACTATACGCCAGAGCTTCATGGCCGATCTCTACTTTTACCACGACCGCCCAAGCCGCTGGGCCACGTCTGTGAGGACCGTGCCAGTGACTCGCCACTCGCCGTCTAGATCGACGCGAAGTGACCTCAAAGAGTCTAGACTTCCGTTTTGTAGCCCGCCAGACTCTGATCGACCCACGATGCGGACTACAGTATATTCAGATAAGAGATAGACCGGATGTAAACAAAAGGTTCGGGTGATTTTCACGCTAACGCCGCCGTCTCGACGTAAAACAGGAGGCCTCATTGGTCAATTCGCAATTAAATGCCTATGCCGAGCGGCAGAGCAGTCGTATCAAGGCAGAGTCACATTCAGGTTCAGACGTGTTACGTATGTCGTGTGCATCATTGCAATTTGATATTTCTTTGGACGTTTTCGTTTGTTATCTTATTAAGTTGTTGAGTTTGTCGTTGTTATTGTTATACCTTGTTATTGATTGTTATTGTTATCAACTGCTTGCGCAAAATGCCCAGTAGTACAGATACTGCCGATGAAGTTGTAAACTCCTGTAGTCCACCTAGGAAACGCTCTAAAAAAAGACACCCGAGTGCAGAAATGAAAGAGGTCATTTTGAATATATATAAGATCGAGCGCGAGGAGAACGAGGCATCAACCATCAAAGAAATTGTTGTGAAGGTTTCTCACAAAGTTGGGGTGTGTCGCGCATCAGTATTTAATGTGTTAAGACAATACAAAAAAAATCACACCTTTTCTGAGCCAATGACCAGTAAACATCGCAAAAGTATTGTTAAATCATTGGATGAAGCTGATAAGCATGCGATTAGGAGGAAAGTGCATGAATTCTTCTTTAGGAATGAAATACCTACTATAGATAAAGTACTGCAGGAGGTAAATGGAGATACAACGTTGCCAAATTTCAAACGATCAACTTTCCATGCGTTACTGAAGCATTTAAATTTCAAATGGAAAAAACGGGGTCGTAATAGTTTACTACTGGATAGAGAAGAAATTGTGCTATGGAGGAGGGATTATTTAACAAAAATTGGGAAATATAGAAATCAAAACAGGAAGATTTATTACCTTGATGAAACGTGGGTAAACGCAGGACACACCACAAGTAAAGTATGGGTTGATGATTCTGTAACTTCATCCAGGAGGGCCTTTCTAGATGGACTGTCCACCGGATTAAAAAATCCAGCAGGTAAATACGAGTAATAGACAACAATCGGATGTTTTTCAAACCTTGGGAACAAGGTTCTAAACATTAATTCCAGGGGGCAGATGAAACATATTACAAGTAACAAAACTTTTATAACTTTCGATAAAATGCGTGGATGTTTTATTCTCATTTTCATTTGTTAGAACTTTTTTAAGCCATGTTTTTATGTGTTTTCGATATTTCAATATTTTTTTAATATAATCTTAAAATATGTCGAATATTATAAACTTAAAAAAAGTTACTAAGTTTTATATTGTGTACCGTTCCTAATATTTCTAATCATTTTAATTCATACTTTAAGCTTTATAAAGTTATAATTTGTTAATATTAATATTTGCGCGTATTTCAGGTTCCTGATCATTCACTTTTTAAAGGTTTATAACTTTAAATTAAATTGTGAAGCGCTGAGTAATCATACGACGTTCAATATTCTTTCTTCCAATATGGCTATGGCAATTATAGCAATCTGATACTCATGTCTCAATGTTTTTTCGCTGAATGTGATGAAAACATTTGAAAAAGGTTCGCTTATTGAAATAAATCTACACCAGTTAGTACTTCGATTTCCAGGTAAAGGGAAAAGGCTCATTATCTGCCATATTGGCAGTGAGGATGGATTTGTTGTTGACGGTCTGTGGTGCTTTGAGTCTAAGAAAACTGGAGATTACCACGAGTAAATGAATGGCGAATCGTTTGAACAGTGGTTTTCAAAAATTTTACCGAACTTAGAGGAAAACGCAGTAATTGTGCTGGATAATGCGCCTTATCATTCTCGAAGAATGGAGAAGGTCCCAACAACGGCTTCAAGGAAAGTTGATGTTCAAAATCGGCTCCGCTCGAAAAATATCAACTTTGAAGAAGCAATGCTGAAAGTACAATTATTAAGAATTGTCAAGGATCACAAGGCGGAATATCAAAAATACGCCATTGACGAAATGGCAGCAAGTCAAAATAAAACTGTGCTGCGTTTACCTCCATACCATTGCGAGCTCAATCCCATTGAGCTCATATGGGCAGAGGTTAAAAATTATATAGCTAAGCACAATACAACTTTTAAATTTTGTGACCTCAAAGGACTTTTCAAAGAGGCACTAGAATTAATAACAGCGCAAAAATGGGAAAACTGTATTAAGCACGTGAAAGACAAAGTTGAAAAGAGAATGTGGGAACTGGACAATATTTTAGAGGAACAAGTCGAGCCATTCATTATTGACGTTGGGGCTTCAGGCAGTAGCGATGATGAAAGCTCATCAAGCTCATCTTTCCAATAAAAAATGTCGTTCATCAAATTCGGTAAGTTATAAGTAATTATAAAGCTACTGTATTTTTTAATTAATTATTGACATTTTTGAACCCATTTTGGCAAAACCTATTCAAGAATCTACTTTCTGACAATGTTCAACCATGCACATTTTTTTACGTTTTGAACGTTTTAATTTGGTTACATATTTACTTAGAAATCAAAAAATATACTAATCAATATTCTAAAAGCAATTTTAGGAGATATACGATTATTTTTAATTTAGGCTAATTTAAACGCCATTTTGAGATTATATTCGACTGTATTTCACCAAACATCAGGCGGCATCCGAAGCTGGAAATCGAAGCGAAAATTTTGAAACCCTTATGTATATTTACATCATTATATATTTCTTACCCCACCCCCACATGATCCTATATCCATCACCAATCGTATACACATCGAATTGTGCTAATTTACTGCAAAGTTACGCAAAGCAGCATCTATTATCTAAAATATGTACTGCGTGACTCTTAATACGTCCCTGCCGAATGTTACAGCGTTCGATGATCACGTGGTCTTGTTTATGTCCGGTCTATCTCTTATCTGAATATACTGTATATATCTCGACGGGCGGGAGAGGGAAGCCGAGTACGGTAGAGTCGCAGAGCAGAGTGGAGTATAGTCCAGTCAGTGGCGCGACATAACGATTAGTCAAACATAAATAGTGGTGTACATAAATGTTGTATCTAGTCAAGATAAATAAATTAGTGTATTTCTTTTTGAGGAATCCAGTGTTTTAATCCATACCCAAAAGAACCCAGAAAAACGCTACACTCCGTTGACACTATTCTCTTTTACCAGGTTAGCACTTGGCGTATACTTTTATCATATAAAATATCATATCATGTCAAGCTCCCCTAATTAAATGATGAAGTAGCGCTTGAATGCTAGTGGATAGACCGACAGACAATACGATACATTGGTAGAAAATATAGATATACTCGTAAGACATCCAAAACATAACTTCTTATATGTTTTCTGGCAGCCGTACTATATTCTAAAAAAAGTTGTATAGATAGGCAATAATTGTTTGTTGGTTTTTTGCAACTAAGCCGTTTGATTTTTCAGGAAACGACGGAACGATGTGTATGGCAAGTGGAGAACGATTCAACATTAGGCGCAATGCATGGGAACCCATAACCTCAATGCATCATAGAAGGTATAAATAATTATTCTCATTTTTATCTCACCTCCTTGTTGTTCTGGCCGCTGAATAATATCACAAATATTGGAAAAACTGATTCAGTAGCCAGAAGTAGTTGGAAGTGAATCAGCAATAGAATTGTAGTTCAGATTTCATGAGTTATGATCGATGCTCGATTTATTCAGTTTTATCTTAGTCGTTACATACGATGGAGATAAGTTGTAACATTTGATATATATTGTGTTGCATAAGTCTATACGCAGAAGCTTTATGTTATGTTCACGTCACGTCTAAGAGAACCTTCCATGAAGCCCGTTTTGTAGTTACTTGGGTAAGCGTATTTTTTTGGTTATAGATCAACCCACGAAGTTGTAGCCATCCACAATTACATCTACGCCCTTGGTGGTAACGATGGCTCATCCAGTTTGAACGTAGTGGAGCAGTACGACCCGAAAACGAATAAATGGGTGGTGGTAACTTCTATGGCCACAAGACGAAGTTCAGTGGGAGCAGCGGTGCTGGAATGTATCAACATCGAACATGTATTAAGGCAGACGCGCAAATCCAGTTGATCCCATTTCACTTTATGAAACTAAAAAGTTGAGTGCGGTCCCACTGAATGACGCAGATATTAGTTTACTCCAAAAAGATGGAAATATTTTATGAATATTTTTATATAAACAAGTAAAGCTTTCATACAATGTAGTAGGGAGCTAAACTTGGATTACCGTATTGATATATGTCAGAAATGTAGCATCCATGCACTATGAATTCGAGAAAAGCGATTTAGGGCTAACGCATACCGGACGACAAGCATAGTATTTGAAAGGAGTTTTCTCCCGGTAACGAGAAAAACTTCTTACATTATCTTGAGCATTCGTCGACCCTATAAATGGTTAGCTGTTGGGTAATAAAGCTTATTATCACTGCTATTATCAATATTATTATCATTATTATACTATGATTATTATTATCCCGTGGCATCCCGCCAGCCTTCTGGAATGTCTAATGCCTGGTAATGAACTGATGGCGCACTATGGTATCCCACAGCATGTTTCTCGATGGAGAGAGACGATTACAGTCGGCAACTGATACAGGCTACAGATAAAGACGTATGCTATCCCGGCTACAAGGCTGCAAATTTAATCGTAAGCTATAACCCCATTCGTAGTCCATTTCCGTCCAGACTAAACACATGCCCAAAAGCGAGATTGTACAGGTCGGTATTTTCCTCAATGGTCTTGGAATAATCTAACAAAATAAATGATTTTTTTGATAGAAACAGGTGCCGAATGGTTAATATTGATTATTACAGATTCAATTTGAATATCGATCATATTGTCCAGATCCTACATTCTTGTTTCGATTGTCTCTTGTACGTGACTGATGCAATCTTTTCAATGGTTTACCGTCACTCTGTTAACAGCTTCATAAAACACATTTTTCACGTCGGAAAATTTAAATGCTCTATTGTTTGAAGCCACATAGTTTTTTATATTTGCCCAAATCATTTCAATGAGATTTAATTCGCAGTGATAAGGGGGTAGCCTTGAAACGGTATTAGTTTGGTTTTTAGGCATCTCGTCAATAACATTAAGATGATATATTCATATTTGTGCTGCCTGATTAGATGGATAATTCTGCTTTGACCATATTTTCATTGAAACTAATATCTTTTGATAGAAGCCATTGTTGAAGTTCTGCCTTTCTTGTGGACATTGTGGGAATTTTTTCTATTTTTCTAGTGTGGTATGCAGCATTATCAAGTACACTGACGGCATTGTCGTCCAATTCTTCATAGTATTTGGTCGTTTTCTTTGACTCAAATGCCCATCTTCACTGCCAATGTGACAGATAAAAAACCGTTTTCCTTTTCCTCGAAATAATTATTTCATAGAGTTTTCAAGAAAATTAATGATAATAGAAGCAGAGTATCTAACAGGTGTTGGTTCCAAATCGACCAGATATATCTAAGTTTAGTGATGTTTTTAGCGTGTGCTCATAGATTCAGTCTACTTGAAACCATTTTCACAAAACAAATGGCGAATTGGTTAGATACACGTACCTGACCTGAAGGCTTGCCTTGCTGATTGAATTGTAGAGTCAGCCCATACTTTAGGTTTTGTATGTATGTCCTGCATTTTTCCAGGATTCATCCAAGAAATAAATCTTCCTGCCATGGTCACGGTATTTCTTTATTTATTTTGAATAATTTCTTTTCAATAAAATAATATATTGACTGTCCATCAAAATACTATTTCTGCCCCGTTTTCTGTAGTCAAAATAAAGTTCTGTGAGTAAACTATAAAATGTGGTCCTTTTGAAAGTAGTTGGACTTGCGTCGGATGGCATTCCGATCAAAGTTATCAACTGTATCCAACAGCTTCGTGCAATGCAGCTTTTTGTGTGGTGGAGACAATTTTTTGTTTTTTTATATTCTTTAACAATGTTGAACAGTGTCTTAGGACATGTCTGTTTTCTTCGCCACACGTCTTTCAATATCATGAATTTTCATTTCAGGATGCTCTCAAATTTCGCTCGTATAAACGTTAAGGACAATCTGTTTTGCCTGAATATTCAAATGTCCCTTCTTGTCACGTTTTCGGATCGGAGACATCACTGAAGAGGAAGCATGGATGAAAAAAGCATTGGGAGAAATGTTCTTACTTTCATTTGGTGTATCCATAGATGACATGCTAACGCACGCTATGTATGAAACGATAATGAACAGTAACTGCCGGCGTCGAAGTACCGGCGATACCCCGAGCTTGAGCTCTATCCTAACGAATCCTGCACTTATTCCTAGTTTTATGGGCGAATGACTAATAGCTATTGCAACCCTTAGGCGGCTGCCGCTTTGCCGCGCTGCATCGTTGTCGTGCCGGGGCGTAGGGTGTGATGTCACGGTATGGCGACGTCTCTTGACACTGAGGAGCATGCTGTGGAATCCCGTTGTCCGATGCTTCCGTTGGAATGACCCATCATTTTTTTTTTTTTTTTTTTAACGAGGGGGGAATGCATTTACGCACCATACCATAGCACGAGCTACGACGTGTGTGGGGCTCCAGGGTCTTGAAGAGATCACCTAATACCCACTAAACCCTAAACCTCCGCGTGGCCCGACTCATCAGCGTCTCGGTAGGCCATGAGTTGTGCGTGACCTGCGGTCTGCTACAACGTATCCTCATGTGTTTCAGTCTCTGGGAACGCCGGGTTGGTTCCCTTTACCTCGCACATTCTATCGATGTCGTTAAGCGATCATCGATAGAGGGTCTGCTAGTTTCTCTTGAAACTCTTGTTTTCGAAAAATCAAGAGTTTCAAGTCCTCTTACCAATATGTTGTTCCTGGTCCTGGTCCTGAAGGGTCCTGGTCCTGGTGGGTCCTGGTCGTGGCGGGTCCTGGTCCTGGTTGGTCCTGGTCCCGGTGGGTCCTGGTCCCGGTGGTTCCTGGTCCTCTGCATCCACGCCGTGGGGTGAGGGGGGGAGCAGCCGCAGTTCTCCTAGTCTCCTAGTCAAGGTTCCAGTTAGCGGGTGCCAACTGGGACCTTGGTCTGGGGTACCTGGTTCTGCGGTTGCGAGGCCTCTCGTCCGGATCGTAGTCCATGAGGAATCGTAGCTGCTCGTTCGGGTGGTCCTGAGCTTTCTCGAAGGTCTTCTCCGCTTTTTTCCTCATGTACTCGTGGATGGTATCCCAATGCAGGTCTCTACGCAAGGTTGAGTTCCTTACGTAGGAAGGTGCATTGGTGGCGATCCGGAGTAGCTTCATCTCTAGAGCAGCAAGTCGCTTGCGGTAGCTGGGGGCAGCGTACCCCCAGACCGCGGAGGCGTAAGCGAGCTGAGGTCTGGCGATGGCCTTGATCAGCCGTAGCTTGGTCGCTAGCGGCATCTGGCTGTGTCTACCCAGTAATGGATAGAGTTGAGCCATGGCTGCTCTGGTTTTTGCGATGACAGCTTCTATGTGCGCTTTCCAGGTGAGGGACTTGTCAAAAACGATCCCCAGATATTTGACATTGTCGCTCCACTGGATATCTTCATCGAAGATGGATGCTTCGAGAGGTCTTGCAATCCTTCTTCGTTGAATGAAGATTGCCTGCGTCTTCTGGACGTTGATGCGGATTTTCCATTTCACGCACCAGTCCTGAATTTGGTCCAGTTCACCCTGTAGTCTCCTACGGATGATCTCGGGTCGTCTATGCTTGGCGGCTATAGCAGTGTCGTCTGCATATAGGGCCAGCATTGTGTCAGCTGTCTTCGGCACATCGTAAGTATAGATGTTGTAGAGCAGGGGGGCTAAGGCTGACCCCTGGGGCACGCCTGCTTCCAGCTGTCGTCTTGTTGAATGGCATGTACCAATCTTCACCGTGAACCATCTTTGTGTTAGATAGCTCTGGATCAGTTGGCACATGTTCGCATCGATTCCGGCGGCTTCCATTTTGGCGATGAGTCCATCGTGCCAAACTCGGTCGAAGGCTCGTTCCACGTCCAGCAGGACGAGACCGGTTGCCTCCTGGAGATTGAAGCCGCTGGTGATGTTTTCCGTCAGTCGTAGCGCTTGGAGTTCCGTGTTGTGGGAGGATCTGAAGCCGAATTGCTCTGGGGTGAGAAGTTGCAGTTCTTCTGCCTGCTTCTCTAGTCGAACGGCGATAGCCTTTTCGACTACTTTGCCCACCGAGGAAACCAGGCTGATGGGCCGGTAGTTCTGGGGCAACTTCCGGTCCTTGCCTGGCTTGGTGAGCATTATAACCTGGGCTTCCCGCCACCGCCGCGGGAAGTGGTTAAGTCTCAGAGTGGCATTGGCGATGTTGGTGAGCGCAGCAATGCCTTTGGTGGGAAGGTTCTTCAGCATCCTATTGTTGATGCCGTCCCTTCCCGGCGCCTTTCTGACCTTCAACCTGCGGATGATCAGACGGATTTCCTCTGGACTGGAGGGGTGGTCCGTCTCCTGGCCAGGTGGTCGACTCCTCATGTTTTCGGCTGCGACTTCCACGGCCTCCTCGTGGTTGTCGTCCTCGTCTTCATGGTAATTGAGTCTGCATTCGGATTCTAGCGAATCGGCGAATGCTTCGGCTTTTTCTTCACTGGAGTAGGCCAAGCCGCGTTGGCCGTGAAGAGTGGGGATCGTGGTGCGCTGACGACGAAATTTTCGCTGCATAGACCAGGCCGTACCATCCTGGGTCTCTAGTTCTGCACAGGCTGCATTCCATCTGTTGTTTTGGAGTTCCGCGAGTGCGTTCTTCAGAGCTAACGATGCTCTGTTTCGCGCAACTCTCGACTCCTCTGTCAACAGCTGGAGATGTTCTCGCTTGAGTCTTCTGTTCTCCCTGATCAGGTGCCTAATATGGTGCGGTGCTGGACCATTTAGGTATCTAGGAACTGCCGTAGTCTCGGAGCGGGTGCTGTCCTCGTGCGCTCGCAGGACAGCATTCTCCAGCTCCTTTACTGCGTTGTCCAGTTCCTCCGCTGATCGGATGGTTGGAATTTGAGTGATGTTCCTCTGGACGTTGGATTTGTAAAGGTTCCAGTTCGTCCGTTTGGTGCTCAAGCTATCTCGAGTTCTAGACCCTGTGCCAAGTGTTAGTAGAATCGGATTGTGGTCCGACGATCCTTCCACCAGGGTCTCTATCTCGAACTCCTCTCTGATGTTGCGGAGGATGGCTATGTCCAGTACCGCAGGTCGCCCAAGGCCGAATGGAATGTAGGTTGGTTGCTCCGGACCGACGATGACCCCCGCCAGGGCATCGACGTGTTCCTGGAGCTGCCTTGCATTCCTGTCTTCGACGTTGTTGTTCCATGCCGGAGACTTGCAGTTTAGATCTCCGATGACTATGCGTGCTCCTGGGCCTCTCAGGAGGTCAGCGATGTCATCTTCGTCTAGGGCCTCCCCTGGTGGCACATACATAGGGAGGTG